TATATGCCAGGGGGCTTTGTGAACTGTAAAGCTCGTCACATGCTAGTCAAAATTATGCATGCCTCTGGGTTGAGATTAGAAAGAAAACAAAATAAATATCATGGTGGGGGAGGTCAGAACTGGAACAAATGTAAATTAGAACAAAAATAAAGCAATACTTCATCCATATAAGATTTCACCAAACAAATATATGAAAAGTACACGCAGAATGTCCTCAACACCTGATGAGGTTAAGCCTGAACCCTATCTCGGTTGCCCTGCTTGATCAAGCAGAGCTGGGCCAGGGGCACAGAAAGTGGAATTGCACGAGGGGCATTGGAGACAGAGGCCTCTACGGTCCCCCACACCCTGGACAAGGACCGAGAAATCCAGAATCCAAATTCACTGAGTGCAGAGTACCTGCGAGCGCTGGCGGCCTCCTGGACGTGAAGGAGGCCGCAGCCCTGGTCTGGACTGTGTGCTCAGAGCGAACAGGGCTGCTGGCAGGTACCGGGGATGGGCCTATAACGCAAGAGTATCGGCCCGGCCCCAACTCACACTGCCCGGAATTCAGTGCCCGGGATCTATTTGGCTCCTGCTGCAGATAAAATTGTGTTTGTGCGAGTGTTTGGGGCCTGGCGGGGACGGGACAGTAAAGCAGAAGGTGGCTCAGAGGAACCACCGCCCAGCGGGCTCCACGTTTTCATATCCGTGACCCCAAGAAGTCAATGCAGTCGCCTCCTTTCACAGACGAGGAAGCAGAAGCCTTTCCAAACTTCTCGCTCGATGCCGGCCGCTGGGCTGGGCACAGTCGGGGGGACGCCAGGGCCGGGGGAGGAGTTCTCCGGGGACCCGGGTCCCCGCTGACTCACTGGGCCTGGGGGTCCACTTCACAGCCTCCGTTACTCACTGCCGGAGACGATGACTTAATTCCCCGTGGGCGAGGCCACCAGGCACACGAGGAGATGGGAGATGACTGTGCCACAGAAGCTAAAAGCCTCAATTACCCTTCATGACAGGGACATAGGACATTTTTATGAAGAAAGAAATTTTTGCCTCGTAAATCTCAGCTGAGCTGCTGGTGACCATGGTGACAGTCAGAGCCACAGGCAGAGGAGCCTCTCAGAGGCGGGGGGTGGGGGGGGATGACCCCGAGTCTCTCACCTGCTCATTAAGCCCCAGAACAGTGTTCTGGGGGAGGCCTGAGGGGTCAGCCAGTATAAGGCCGGGCACGTAGCCGGAAGGGCCAGAGCTCAGGTGCGTCTCTGGCTCCCAGCCTTGGGTTCTGGTGAGGAAGGGAAGGGGGCTTTATAAGGTCCTGCTGCCCAGGGCACCCCCAGAGATTCTGATGTAATTGGTCGGGGTGGAGCCTGGGCACTGGGAGTTCAAAAGCCTTCTAGGCGACTCTGATATGCAGCCAAGGTCGAGAGCCAAACAGACCTTGCCCTGCCTCGCCAATCAATGAATCCAACCCGCAAGCTTTCAGCTAGTGCGAGCTGGTGGGAGGAATCAGAAATAGAACACGGTTTCCGCCCAGGCTCTTTTACAGGAAGCCATATTGCTGACCCTCCACCCCCATGGGCAATAGATATCCTGAGAGGAAGCCCCAGAGCAGGATAGGGTACCTTGGGGCTGGACCCATTTTGGGGCTCCCACCAGTGCACACAACCACTGCCCTTCCGTGCTGTTGTCACACACACACACATCCTCTTGGCCCTGCTTTCTTTCTCCTCTGCCTTCCACCGCACCCCAGCTGCCCAAAGATCCCCTTTCATTCTCCTTACAAACATTTGCCGAGCACCTTAGGCACAGAACGAGCACCAGGGCTGCGCTGGGCAGGGACACATGAGTCAACAAGGCTCCCCAAGGACCCAACAGTACTTAACGGGTGGAATCCATGCATTTGACGAGCTACCTCAGGTGGGTGTGAGCAGAGGCTCAGAAGAGCCTCTAGCCACTCAGGTTCTTTCAACAAAATCACGCAGATTCCATAGCTTTCTATTTATTCTTGAGTATTAATAAATAATCCCATATTCCGTAATAAAAAGTCTAGTTCAGGGATGCCTGGGTGGCTCAGTGGTTGAGCGTTTGCCTTTGGCTCAGGGCATGATCCTGGGGTGAGGGGACTGAGTCCCACATCAGGATCCCTGTGAGAAGCCTGCTTCTCTCCCTCTGCCTAAATCTGCCTCTCTCTGTGTCTCTCATGAATAAATAAATAAAATATTTTTTTAAAAAAAAGTCTAGCTCAATTGAATATTAAAACCCCAAACTCTCATCCAATTTAAACATCTATCCTCCCCTCTGCCAGGTGGCTCAGGGTCCTCAGGTATGCCTAGTATTCAACACTGACTCTCAGGGAAGATTCCATGCTCCGAGAGACTCCCCATGGCTAGGGGTCCCTGGAATTGACAACGTCTCCTAAAATAACACAACAGCATAAGCCCTGTTCAACATTTGGCTGCTGACTCGATATTCAAATTTCTGTGAGTTGTTGATGTTATTTGTTTTAAGGATATGAATTTTCATCATAGGACAACTTATTTTTTACGTTAATATTTATTGCTTTCCCTGCCCTTCAATAATGACAAAAGTAATATACACTTGGGGCTTAGTCAGTCAAGCATCCAACTCTCGATATCGACTCAGGTTGTGATCTCAGGATCATGAGTTCGAGCCCTGCTTAACATTCTCTCTCTCCCTCTGCCCCTCCTCCCACTCATGCTCTCTCTCTCTAAATAAATAAATATAAAATCTATTTTTTTAAGTAATACACGCTCCTTGGACAACAACTCATACAACCCAGAAAAGCATGCATTAATTGATTCAACAAATATTTGTCCAGAGCCTTCTGCATACATACCTGACATGGTTCTTGGTACTGAAGATACATCAACAAACACATTAGACACAGACCCTGCACTCAGAGAGCTTACAGTTCACCAGAGTGTCAGATAGAAATTATGATGTCACTTGATGCAGAAAGATTGAAAAACACAAGTCATCCACCATCTCAAAGCCCAGAGATATCCACTGTTCCCATTTAAGCACATGACTTTCAGGTATCAGCATTATTATTATTATACATAGCATTACATTGTGAATACCCCTCCGTATCTATGAATATTTTTCAGCCAGATGATTTTAGTATTTCAAAATGTGGATGAATCACAAATATCTTAGTCATAGAATCTTTAGAGCTGAAAGACTCAGTAACAGGCTCCTATTCTGTGGGTGTGTGAAATGGGTATAAGATCAGGAAATGGTAGGAATGAAATGATGAATTGCAGAGGCACAGTCCTCCTGAAGGCATGCACACTGTGGGAAGCGAATGGGAAGGGAACGGAGAGGAAGGGGAGGAGAGGGGAGGGGAGTCAAAAACCCTGTGCTGGCTAGGCACATCTGTGCAAGAGTCAGTCCCAGCTCTCCACATGAAACACCCCTCTGCCCCCGCACTGACAGCTGGAAGCTCGGAGACCTAGAGGGCTTGCATGCCCAGGTGGCCCATGGGAGACATGATCAGGATGGTTGATAGTGACCATCATGCTGCACCATCTCCAGAAACCTGCCTCGGCCAGGTCTCCCCTGCTCCCTCTGGATCCCTGAATTATGTGAATAATTGCTTCTATCTTTTCAGCAAAACCCAAGCTTGAGGGAATGAACTTTGGAAGCTAACTTTTCCCTTTTTTTAAGGGAAAACATTATACTCCTTGGAGCTGCAAGGCTGGACCTTTTAACACCTTCTTAATTCGAACACTGAATTTGGCTCAAACCCTGTTCTCTCAACTGCAGCCAAACTGCTGCTGAATTTCAACTTTCTTTAAACTTTGGGAAAGTCTGGTGCATGTCTTCAGTTGGGAGAAGTCTTTTTTTTTTTTTTTCCTTCTTTTTAATCAGCTCGTAAGTCAATAAGCAGCGTGGGCAATAAAGTTCATACTTGGAGAAACCAAAGACTAAATCACCATCCGCATTCACACCCAGGGTGGACGGTCTCAGCTTTCAAGAATTTAGTGTTTGTCTTGGAGAAAACCGAGAGCCTCACTGCAGCCAAGGGAAAGAGAGAGAAATGCCACCTCAGCCCTGAGCTCCGTTTCCCCTGCACACACAGGAAGGATGGTAGAGGAATCATAATGCAGTCAAGAAACACAGGGGAAACATCTGGGTGGCTTTGCTAGTCTGAAGGTTCCGAGGTGAGCATTGCCTTCCATGTGTTTGTGTAAGTGAATTCACTCAACCATCTGCTGATGGCGCCCTCTGTGACATTGCTTGGTCATCATTCCCAAGTGATTCCCTTGAGAGAGTTTTAAGTTTTCCAAGTAAACTTTAAGATTTGGGCAGGAAACTTGTGGGACTTGGGAGTTTGGATTGTTTCAATACCACCCACCCACCTAGAGCTCTTCACACAGCCTCTGCTGTGATGGGGTTGGGGAGGTGGGTAATGGGTATCAAATGCTGTGGTTCCTGCTTCACTTATAAGCCCCGTGACATGGAGCAAGCCATTTAGCTTCTCTGAGTCTTGGTTTCCCCATCTGAAAAAAGGGCATGGCAGTGTCTGCCTTGCGAGATTATATTAGAGGGTTATATGAAGTTACTTAATATTAACCTTACTGTTAAATGCTAATTTTCCACATGGAGACTTGAATTGTATCACGAAGAACGTTCATTTCATTTCATTCTCTTCCTGGCAAGTTCCCAAAGAGAAAACATTTTAGGGAACTTCTGGAGCATAAGAATAAACTTCTGTTTTTGTTTTGTTTTGTTTTGTTTTTTTTAAAGATTTTATTTATTTATTCATGATAGTCACACAGAGAGAGACAGAGAGGCAGAGACACAGGCAGAGGGAGAAGCAGGCTCCATGCACCGGGAGCCCGATGTGGGATTCGATCCCGGGTCTCCAGGATCGCGCCCTGGGCCAAAGGCAGGCGCCAAACCGCTGCGCCACCCAGGGATCCCAAGAATAAACTTCTAAATGATAGAGCGAGCATAGCGCTGGGCTAGAAGTTTTCTCGTGAAGACCCATTCATTCCACTACAATGCTGCGAGGTGAGAACTATCATTGTCCCCTTTCAGATGGGAAGACAGAGGTTCAGAATGACTTTCAGTGATAGCCTTCTTCAAGGTCACCCTGAGGTCACCCAGCTAAGGAGAAGTCACACTGGTGTGCTGGTGAACTGACTCTCTGAAGGAAAAAAAAAAAAAAAAGAAGGCTTGACTTGTAAGGCTTGCTTAGGACTGTGGTATAGATATGGCCCCGGTGGCTAATTTCACAAGAACCAGTGTTAGCCAGCTTCAGGACACTCTTGACCAATAGCATCCAGAAGCACACTCAGATTTCCCAGTTTCAGGTAAGGATCATTTCCTGAAGCCACCACGGACATGCTGCCCATTAGCAGAGAATCCCCAGGCACGGGGTAGGGACCAGGGCTGGCTGAGTCAGCTGGAGCTCCCCCCCACCAACCAGACCCTTGGGGGCAGGGCCTGAAAACCTGCATTCTAAACACAGACCGATGTATGCCCTGGAGTCTGGAGACTGCCCAGCCCTCAGCTGCTAAGAAGGTCACCCCAAAACCTTCCTTCCACACCTGTCTCCCAAAGGCGGTGGGAGCCCTGTATCTGAGGAGACAGATGAGAGCATCTCCTGTGACCTGGATTAGGATTTTGGCCTGGGTGTCTGTGCAGGGGCTGGATCGTGGTGGTGAGCTCACAGCTCTGTCTTTATGATGATCTGTTTTCACCAAATCTGAGATTCCACTGATTGCAAGCCACACCATTATTTCATTTACCCCCAAGAAAGAAAAAGTGTTGCCAAATTACTTTAAAATATGAAAAAGTATATTTTTAAAAAAATATTTTATTTATTTGAGAGAGAGAGAGAGAGAGCAAGCACAAGCAGGGAGAGGGGCAGAGGGAGAGGGAGAAGAAGGTTCCCTGCTGAGCAGAGAGCCTGACAGGGGGCTCCATCCCAGGAGCCCAGGACCATGACCTGAGCCAAAGGCAGATGCTTAACCGAGTGAGTCACCCAGGCACCTCAAAAAAGTACATTTTAGAATCAATGAAATATGACCTATGCAGTGTACGTACATTCACATACACGTTCCACTTCACAACAGCTCATTCAATAGTCTGTTCTTTGACACAAGGTCAGGTCTCAGTCACCTGTATTTTTGTCCTCTGAGTTCCATCAGGCTTGGTTGAATGAATACATGCTGAGCAGCATGTCATTACACACAATTTATTGACCAGTTATCAATAAATGCCCCAGGCTCTGTACCAAGCATGTTACGTTGAATCTCCACACCAATCCTGGGAAAGAGGCACCAGGCTCTTCCTGCTTTACAGAGGGGCAGTAAAGCTGAGGCTCTGAGAGGCCACAGAACTCCTAAGAATCCCGCCTGCGACTGAAACCCCAGGTTTGAGACTCCCACCTGACTCCATTCACAATACTGGCTCCTTTAAAGTAAGCTAGAGAAAAGAAAATGTTTTTAAGAAAACTATTTGGAAGAAAAATATATATATATTTACAGTATATTACTGTCTGAAAAAAATTATATGTAAGTGGACCCATGCAGTTCCAACCTTTACCATTCAAGGGTCGGTGTTCTTAGGACTACAATCAAATATCTTCCACAATTTTATAATTCCATTTTTCAGAACAAAATAATTTTTAATTATTTCAAATACTTATACATACATATTTACTCTGGCTGTTAGGTCTTCTTCAGGAAGGTCTAATTTAGCTTCCTCCAAACTGCTAACTTTTCCTTGTTTCACTCCTGCCAAAACCAAAGAATCACTGGAAGGCTGTGAGTGTTGGACACCTGTTTAAATAAATACGAATTATCTATTAAACACAGTAAAAAATAAGCTCTGTAATTTCTGTTCATTACATAATCATAATATGTATTTTAAGTAAAGGAGGAGGGGTGGGGAATTGGGTGTAAGGAGTCAAATGTGTAAACTTCCAGGTGTAAGATAATTAAGTATTGGGGATGTATGTGCAGGATGACTATAGTTAACAGTGCTATATGGCATTTTTGAAATTTGCTAAAAGAGCAGATCCTAAAAATTCTCATCATAAGGAAAAAAAAGTTTGTGATTATATGATGGGATAGATGTTAACTGTACATTGCTGTAATCATTTTACAATATGTGCATATCTCAAGTCATTATGCTTACATTTTACACAGTATTATATATCAATTATATCTCAATAAAACTGTAAAAAAAAAAATACTGGCCCCTTGAAGATGCTAAAAAATATTCTCTGAGGGGTGCCTGGGTGACTCTGTCAGTTAAGCATCCGACTCCTGATTTCAACTCAGGTCATGATCTCAGAGTCCTGAGATGGAGCCCCCGTGTCAGGCACACTCTGTCCCTGAGCTTTGGTAACATCTGGAGGGCTTGCTGGAATCAAAACTTTAGGATTGATGTGAAGATGTAAACTCCAGGGTGCAAGGTACTGACAGAACTCTGCCTACCCCTCCCTTGGGGTTCTACAATCCCCCCTGTTTTCCAAACCCCATTATGTCTCATCCACTCCCAGGCCTCTCCGCCCCCACAAGGCTGCAACCTCAGAGCGGCCTTGCCTCCTAGTGACAGTGTGGGAAAATCCCCGTGCTGCTGTGCTTAGCTGCAACCAGGTGGGGATTTTCCAGAAGGTATTTGTATTAGAAGAAAGCACAGTAGGACAGAAGTCAAAAAAGCCTAGATGGCTTCACCGAGGTGTAGGCACACACTGCTTTGGCTGCTTCCAAGTTTACTGGGTCCATCGTGCTACCACCACCCCTCTTCTTCCCGGGCATCACTTCTACTGTTTGGGGCCAGCTTAATAATGCCTTTGCCCAAAGTAGTTCAGTCTACAGGGTTTTATTCTTTTTTTTTTTTTAAGATTTTATTTATTTTTTCATGAGAGAGAGAGAGAGGCAGAGACACAGGCAGAGAGAGAAGCAGGCCCCACGCAGGGAGCCCGACATGGGACTCGATCCGGGAACGCCAGCATCATGCCCTGAGCCAAAGGCAGGCGCTAAACCGCTGAGCCACCCAGGGGTCCCAGGTTTTTATTCTTTTTAAGTTCTTATTTCTTTTGACCAGTTTTGCTGCTGTTGATAGCGTGTGCGCCCATGTGTTTGTGTTAACTGTTGTTCGTGGGTGTGGGGTATTCTGTGGGGGTTTCCTGGGGGCCATTTGATACAGGGAGATTTGAAGAGGGGCCACCCCATCTTTCTGCCCATGTGGAGGATCCTATGGAAGGGAGGGACGGCACCATCCAATCAAAGGGACCATGTGATTGTCGCTGTCGCTCTGGAATACACGGAGGCCTCTGGTGTCTCAGCCTGCCTCTTGAATTTGAAGATGAAAAGGCTGTTGTTCCACCTTGAGGCAAAGTGGTCGACTCCACATGGAAGCTCTGTGTGTTCCTTCCAATTTCAGCGACCCAAACATGACCTGCTCTAATGTCTCACCAAACCTGATTCGTCTACTGAGAGCATGGGCAGTAAGTGTAAGGGCTAACTTAAGGTCTACTGGCATCATTAACTATATGTTTCTTAGTGTTTTTATTTTTAAAATTATGTAATGGCAGTATGACAGGGCAGTTTGTATAAAGAACATTTCCTATAGATCATCACTCTTCAATTGCACCCCAACTTCTGATTTCATGTTTGTGTGCTGCCTTGCGGTTTCATCCGCATATAAATTTTAGCTTCGGGGATCCCTGGGTGGCTCAGCGGTTTGGCGCCTGCCTTTGGCCCAGGGCGCGATCCTGGAGTCCTGGGATCGAGTCCTACGTCAGGCTCCCAGCATGGAGCCTGCTTCTCCCTCCTCCTTTGTCTCTGCCTCTCTCTCTCTCTCTATGTCTATCATAAATAAATAAATAAATCGTTAAAAAAAATTTTTAGCTTCATTGCAGTCACAGGGTCTGTTATAATGTAAACGCTCCAGGTGGAGTGAACAGCTCAGTGGGCGCATTGCTGCTCACACCAGCAGTGGTTCTCTGTTGCGGCCCTAAACCTTTCCAATCCCTCCAAAGACCCAGCTACTCTTTCCCTCCACTGGCAGTATATGGTCACACACCTGTGACAGGAACAGCGTATCCATGTAAGTGAAGTGTAGCATTAGGTCTGACACATAGTGGGTGCTCTGGAAATGCCTGGAGGAATCGAATCCCATGTAGACCAGTCAGCTCATTTTTGTACATGACCTTGGATGGTCTATATAACCACCCATGCTCTTCCATGGCCTCCCACTGGAGGAACAAACAAGCAAACAAACAAAATACAGTGATAATTCTGTCTGGGAAATCCATGAGGGGGGTGGGGGGCAGGAAGGGGAGTGAGCTTGAATTTTCCAGTACTGAAACCAAACTGAGTCCTTAAAAAATAAACAGCCCCTGGATGAGATACTAAGGGCAGGGTAAGGATGGTCTGTGGAACGCTGCTGCCATCTAGTGGTGCATGCACAAATGACAAATTTTTATGAAGAGACCCAAGGGGTTCAACAGAATAATAAAAATCTCAGAATCTTCAAATATTGGCATTCAAAGTCATCACAGACAGAGTCAACAAATGGTGATCGAGTGTTCTTTCTGGGACCAGCCCCTGCCATACACTGGAGTGGGGCTGGTAGTCCAGGGAACAAGCGAAGACAGACTCTGGTCCACTAAGCACAGGACACAGCCCAAGTAGTATCCTGAGGAAGAGGCGCAGACTCTGGTGGAGGGCAGGGAATTGGAATCTCACTCTCTATATATCTATTTGGGTTGTGTTTCAAAAAACACTTCTTACTTCAGTGCTTATAATGAATTTATTGCATATCACTGGCCACATACTCCCTAGGGCAAGGATTCTCAACCTCACGTCCACCTACCCTTCCCAGATACACTTCAGAGGATCCATGAACTTGAGTGGGAAAAAAATTACAGCTTTATTTTCATGAACATTGAACTGAAATTTAGTGTTTTCTTTAATTATGAATTAAACAACAAACTGGGACAGTTATTAGCAGAACCTGTGACTTCATTATTCACAGAAATTGTTAAATATTTTCCTATCACAGTACAATTGTTGCAGATACCTCAAATGATTTATTCATCAGTACTTTGAAATTATGGTGATTATTAGACCTGCTGCTAGATCTTAATTAAAAAGCATATAGTTAGGGCAGTCCAGGTGGCTCAGCGGTTTAGTCCTGCCTTCAGCTCAGGGCATGATCCTGGAGACCCGGGATTGAATCCCACCTCAAGCTCCCTGCATTGAGCCTGCTTTGCACTCTGCCTCTCTCTCTCTCTCTCTCTCTCTCTCATGAATAAATAAATAAAATATTTTAAAGAAAAAGAAAGATACCTACCTACACCTTTAAAATAAATAAAATAAAAAGCATATAATGACTAAATAATTCACCTTTTAAAATATTTTGGTATTTGTATTAACTGGCTTCTATAAAACACTTTGTTTTTTCACTGATGAAAGAAATTAAAGATTACACAAAAAATGGAAAGACATTCTATGCTCATGGATTGGAAGAACAAGTACTGTTTAAATGTCTCTACTATGCAAAGCAACCTACATGTTATTGCAATCCCTAACAAAATACCAACAGCATTTTCCACAAAACTAGAACAAACAATCTTAAAATTTGTATGGAACCACAAAAGACCCCAAACAGGCAAAGCAATCTTGAAAAAGAAAAGAAAAGCTGGAGGCATCACAATTCTGGGCTTCAAGTTATATTACAAAGCTGTAGCCATCAAGACAGGATGGTACTGGCACAAACACAGACACACAGATCAATGGAACAGAATAAAAAATCCAGAAATAAACCCCCTGTTACATGGTCAGTTAATCTTTAACAAGGCAGGAAAGAATATCCAGTAGGAAAAAGACAGTCTCTTCAGTAAATAGTGTTGGGAAAACTAAAGAGCCACATGCAAAAGAATGAAACTGCATCACTTTATTACACCATACACAAAAATAAATTCAAAATGGGTTAAAGACCTAAATATGAGACTTGAAACCATAAAAATTCTAGAAGAGAACACAGGCAGTAATTTCTCTGACATTGGCAATAACAACTGTTTTCTGGATATGTGAAGCACTCCCCCCCCACCACCCCCCCAAAAAAAAAAAACCTATTGGGACTCCTTCAAAATGAAAAGCTGCTGCACAGTGAAGGAAGCCATCAACAAAACTAAAAGGCAGCTTCCGGAATGGGAGAAGATATTTGCAAACAACATCTGATAAAGGATTAGTACCCAAAATATATGAAGAACTTATAAAACTCAACACCCAAAAAAACCCAAATAATCCTCTTAAAAATGGGCAGAGGACATAAATAGACATTTTTCCAAAGAAGACATCCAGATGGCCCACAGACACATGAAAGGATGTTTGTTCAACATCACTCACTCATCACAGGGAATTGTCAAAACTACAATGAGCTATCACCTCTCATCTGTCAGAATGGCTAAAACCAACAACACAAGAAATAAAAGGTGTTGGTGACAATGTGGAGAAAAAGGAGTCCTCTTACACTGTGGGTAGGAATGCAAACAGGTGCAACCACTGTGGAAAACAGAATGGATGTTCCTCAAAAAGCTAAAAATAGAACTAGTCTATGATCCAGCAATCCCATTACTGGGTATAAACACAGAGAACACAAAACCACTAATTCAGAGGGATACGTGCACCCCTGTCTTTATAGCTGCGTTATTTACAATAGTCAAGATATAGAAGCAGCCCAAGTGCCCGTCAAGAGATGAATGGATAAAGGTGTGGTAAATAGATACAACGGAACATTATTCAGCCATAAAAAAGAACGAAACCTTGCCATTTGCAACAACGTGGATGGAACTAGAGAATATAAAGCGAAGGGAAATGTGTCAGAGAAAGACAAGTACTGTATGATGTCAGTCATATGTGGAATTTAAGAAACAAAACAAACCAGCAAAGGGAAAAAAGAGAAACCAAGAAACAGACCCTTAACTATAGAGAACAAAGTGAGGGTTACAAGAAGGGAAGTGGGCAGGGGGATGGGTGAAGCAGGTAATGGGGACTAGGCACTTGTTGTGATGAGCCCTGGTTGATTAAAATATAAGCTTTTTTTAAAAAAAATTGCTTTGTTTTTTTTATTTTATGCACATGAAAACATTATTCTGTAAAGGAGTCCATGACACACAAAATGTCAAGGGTCACTGCTGTGGAGGCGTAGAGAAGGGAGAGGTGACCATGAGCTGGACTAGCCAGAAAGGACTTCTCAGGGGACAGGGGATGGATGTCTTCTTTACATTTTACTAAAGGGGACCCCACAGATACTCACCCTATCTGGGGAAACAGAGCCAGACTCTGCCAAAGTGTAAACATGGGAAGTTTTCTACGACTTCTATGTTCAGCCCAGCAAATGCTCCCTTTGGAAAGAACCTGAGAAAATACTTGATACTAAGAGAGAAATGACTGAAAACATTTTAATTTCAGGAGGATTTTCATTTAACAAGACTCAAAGCATCTACAAACACAGAGGACTGACGCTATGTCGACAGAATTCAGCTGGCAAGGCAAACCGGTTGATCCTTTGGGAGGGGTCAGCTTGCCACTGAGTCACACTGTACCCCCAGCTTGCTCCTATGCATTAGTAAGATTCTCTTGGTTATAAATGATATAAAAACCAAGTTGGGGATCCCTGGGTGGCACAGCAGTTTAGCACCTGCCTTTGGCCCAGGGCGCAATCCTGGAGACCCGGGATCGAATCCCACGTCGGGCTCCCGGTGCATGGGGCCTGCTTCTGCCTCTGCCTATGTCTCTGCCTCTCTCTCTCTCTCTGTGACTATCATAAATAAATAAAAATTAAAAAAAAAAAAAAAACCAAGTTGGCCAGACTTTTAAAAAGGCAATTCAATGGGAGGCCACTGGAATCCCAAAAAGAGTAAAGCCGCCCTTCTCAGAGCAGTAGGAACTGGACAGCTCAGGCCTTGTGGCAATAGGTGTCTGGGACCCTCTCCAGAGCAGTGCTTCTCCAATTTGAATGGCACACAATTCACTGGGGTTCTATTAAAGAGCAGGTTCTGACTCAGCTGGTCCGGGGCGACTTTCATACCCCTTTTCCCCGGGTGCTGTTGCTGGTCCAGGGACCACACATTGAGTAGCAAGGGCATACAGCACTCACATGCCTCCACCACCATGCCTCCCAGCTGCTGTGTCCCTTGGTCCCAGATCCTTGGGTAAGAGGATGTGTTGACCTAATTTGAAGGCTAATTTCGTTCTTGGGGGGGAAGGAGTATTTTGAGAACAGTCAAAAGGGAGGCATATGTATGCCCAAACTGTAGGGTGGTGGTTCTACCTTGAGGCACAGGTTAACTGTGGCCCTATGACTTCTCCATCTGCCTCTGCTCCTTGCTCTGCTCCATCTCCACCATCTTCTTCCCACTCAGAGACTTGCTCCAACAACCCAAGGCTGGTTTTGTTGAGGTTGTTATGGATGAGGTCCTGGGTTCCCATTAATCCATAATCTACCAGAATGGGCACTGGCAAAAACCCTTCCAAGCAAGTCCAAGGACACCTGGCTTAGCACTCTTGTCCCTTCAGATATGGTTACCTTATTCCCATCTCTTGCCCCACAGAGCCCACAGAAATTAGCTATGAACACCAAAGCCTGTCTCCTTGGAGAAGCCCTCCCTATTTCCTGCATTCTGATTCTCCAACATCCTTGAAGTTCAAGGATTTTCCCCTACACCTCAATATGGACACCTGCTGGATCTCTTCTCTCAGGTTCACAACTATGGCCACACCTCCCTTCACTCCACTATCTTTGGTTGTAGTCACAACCAGGGACAGGGGCGCTCAGCCTGCTTTAGTCCTCCAGCCTCCACTAAGGCGAGCCCCTCTACTACACCCCCACCAGGCCACACAGGACCTCTTCACACTTTCTCCTCTCTGGGCAACAGGGCCTTTTAGCCTTGGCAGGCATGACCTGCACATCCTTCCCCAGCCACCCAGTGGGAAGGCAATTAGAAATTCATGGACAGAAAATGTGTAGTGTTTCCTTTCAACTCTGGCAGAGCTAAGCAAATTCTCTGAAAGCTCTCAACAGAAGAGTATAATTGTGAGCACTGCCAGCACAGCCCCGGGGCTCAGACACTAAGCAACAGGCTTGTTCTTGATGCGTCCCAGGGTCCCCAAGTTTAAAATGGCCACTGTGGTGTCCAGAAGACCATGTCTTTTCATACTATTTCTTTAAGCT